TCGCATATTCAATTCTATTGGCATTCAGATCATTCTTGAAATAGTGGTGAACACTTAACGATTTTCAGTGCTTTCAATTGATTGTACACAAATAAGGATTATATTCTACGTGGTTACCGAACCTTCAAAATAAGACATTTCTTAAACGTGAGGTTTCGAACAGTGCTTCTTTTGCGGTCGGCTGTTTGAGTCATGGTTTTAGAATAGACGAAACATGTCAACTCATTGCACAACGTCCACAACAACAGTCACAAAGTAGTGTGCCTAAGATCAGTTAAAAACTGTCTATTACAGGTTAGCTTTTGAAAAGGCGAAAAAAGTATAATGGAGCAGTTTTCCGTTCTCTTGAGTGATGTAGGTAAGACTCGAGGTTTTCATTCGAAGCGTTTAATAGCGTAAAAAATTACTTGGATAGCAAGAAAGTTTGAATCTGGCCCAAGATGACCCACCCTTTTCCTCAAGACACTGACCAAACCTGAATTAATTTCCAGTAAACAGCATTGTACGTCTCAAAGCAATTCAATTAACAATTAAACAGTTTCCACTGTGCGTTAACCCCCCACCCCCGCCAATTTCGATCATCAATCTACTGTAATTAAGCACACCAACACCTAGGCAAAATAGCCACTTAGTTCCAATGCCTATCAGCTTTTAGCCGACGACGGATACACCCGAGCAATCCCCGCACCAGCGTGATTAGTCATAGCGCATCCAATTAGTAAGCCTATCGCGCTAGTTACGGCTACTGAGGTTTAACCCTAACAACTGCGATCTTCCAGGCCCGGTTCCTTAGGAGAGGAGAGAGAAGACGGTGGAAAGGCCAGAGTAGTAGGAACAATGTTTTGTTCGGCAGGAGTTCTTTGAGAAACAGTGGTTTATTGTGTAAATTTTTGACACTGGCACAACAGGTTGTCGTCAGACGGATGGAACTTGTACGAAACAGTACAATTTCGTACAATTTCCATTCGTCTGACGACCACCTGATATGCCAGTGTCGAAAACTTACACAAAAAAAACACTGCTTCCCAAAGAACTCTTTCTGCCGAAGCGTACTTCTTGGGATGCCGATTTTCCAGTTCACAATATATTGTGTACACAAGAGTAAGGAGAAAGTTGCCACTGGGTCTGGCATAGCACTTGACTGTGAGGTCCGTGTGAGAGCGTGGTGTCGTCACAGCGGCCAACGACGTCGCCTACGTCCGTCCCGCTCGGGACGTTCTCCCAAGTGTGGTTAGGTGGAGGCCACTGCCTTGAGGTCTTCTGTGAGCCGGCCTGTCATTGGTTGCACCGCGCGAGATTAAGACGCAGTGTGGGCGCAGCCGAGACTGCGTGTTTTAATAGGTCGCGCAGAACACTGAGCGGGAAAGGGACAGGGTGCAGGTAGTCAAGGTGACTGCGGCCTTGGCGTGATGAGTCAGCGATCACGGGTTTCAAAAGAGGCGCTAACGTCCACTACAAGTCCACTTGACAAAAGACCGGGGCAACAAACGAAGAACAAAAAGACCAGCTTCAGATCGGCAGCTCACTTGAATTTCAATTCGATTCTCTGTGTTTAAAGCGTTGACAAGGGTAGACCGACAATGCTCACCGAAACAGTTGTAGTACAGTGGATATTAAACAAAAGTCTGTAATATGTTGTTTCGAACAAAGTACCTAATTAGGGCCGTTATGCTTATTATCGCACAGCCTAAACTGAAGAAATTTCATCAACGTTAGGCTGCCCGCCTTTGAAGGAACTTCCTTCTGAAAACCTGCAAAAAACTTATACTGTATGCACTTTTCTTATACGCAAAGGTTTTTTTGTACTTTTTGGCTGGTAAATTGCACCTTGTTGACATTTTGAACTTAATTTAGGCGAATTTTTATGACTGTGAAATATTACTTCATAATAACTTGTATCCGTAAATGGTGCTTATACAGTATGTAAGATGATCTACGTCCATTGGAAAATTTCAGGAGAAGTACAAGACCCCTATCTTGTGCCCTATGGAAATATGTACTTTTCATTGAACAAAGTTTATACCGTATGTATTTTGGAAAGCTTGAATTAAAGTTTAACGATCGGTACGGTCTGTAAGAGATGACTACTTACGTAATAGGCACTTTTCACATTGATCTTAAATGTCCCTATAAATTCAAAAAAATTATAGAAATCACACGCAACGTTTTTTTCTTGTACTTTTGGGTGGTAAATTGCGTCTTATTGACATTTTGTACTTTAATAAGCGTTAATTTAGGGTTTTAAAGTAATTTCTAATTAGGAGATTTTTAAAACCGTGAAGTATTCATTCAC